TTAGGGATATGTGACAATGGGATTATTAAATTGGTCCAATCCTCCAACAGGAATATTTGTCTCTTAAAATCATTCTAAAAACCCCTAAAGAGTCAGTGTATAAGTTCACAGGGTATGGCTCTCTGGATGGAAACCCTGGCAAAAAGAGATTTGCAAGGACTACCTGTGTCTCAGAAAATGAATGAGATAATTTCATTAAGCTAATGGTGGGCATATTACAGTTCTACCAATAAACCTAGAGGTGGCAGTGTATAATAATTGTTCAAATAAAATACTATCCCTAACTGACATTACCTTTAGAGTCATGTCATCAGAACAGGATGCCAGAAGATTACCAGTGGGATCCCATTTGATTGCATTTACTTCATTCTAAAAGCAAACAGTGAGAAAAAAGTTGAAGTCTTCATTTGCATTATGAATGACAGCTTTCAAAAAGATCACGTTGGATAGTAAATACACATACTTGTATAATCAATTAATATTCTAAAATGTAATCCTCAACCCCCACCTTCAGTTGACCAACTGTACCAACACTTATTACCTTTTAATCACATTTTCCCATGGCACCATCCTGCTTTCTCCTGCATAATGGTTACCGCATCCACCAACCTCACCAAAAACTCACTTAGGCTTAATAAGCACGTGACACCCGGCTATGTGCACTAGGACTGATGCTTACTGCTGTAACATAAAAGCCCACCTCAGCTGCTTGCTGCAGTCATCTACTGCCTCTCACCAAGGATCATCTATTATATGTGTACAATGCTTAGTACAACAGGGTCTTAATTCCCAATTAAAATTACTACCAATACAATCAGACAGCAAATCCAAACTTTGCAATCTGTTTCAGTACTTACTGTATGACCCTGGAAGGTTTTGATAGGCCTATCTTGTCCTAATTTACAGACATGAATACACATATCTGTGCTGCAAGAGGCAAATGTGTTGTTACTCTGCCAGTCAACATCTAATGCTGGTGCTAAACAAAGGGAAAATGAGAGATAGTTAAGCAATATATATATTACAACATATATCACAATGTTTTGAAAGGGTTGATTTGTGAGTTTTCTGTGTATCATTTTGTAAACAGGAACAAATGCCAAAAGGGAGTGACTTAATTTTATGATAGGATTCAATGGAATTTAAACATTTCAAGAGCAGCTTCAGTGCCGACAGATAAAAATAAGTTTACCAAGAAAGAATCAAAACTGGAAACATTTTTTAAATAAACAATTATGTAAAAGTTAAGGGAAAGAGATACAAGTCTGTTGTAAACACAACCCCTGGGGTGCACTGGGAGTATTTAGTAGTGACCCCACTGGTTGTTTTCTGCCTATGTGAATGTGGGATGCCTATGCTGACCTTAAAACGGTTTTTATATTTTTGATAACCATAAATAAAATAAAAATAGAAACCACAAGTTTTCTATTTTCTGTTTTCTAATTCTTATCTTTGGTTAAGTTTTTTTAAGAGACATACACATCAAGCTAGAAATTTTCATCAATTCTTCATCTAGGAAGGAAGACCTACTCCATGTCTCCAGATACAGCAAAGAGGGCCAATATATACAGAGCATATTGCAGTTAGTCTGTAAACCGTGTGGTTAAAATAAAAAGTTAGAAATAAACCTTAAATATCACAGAACTTGTTTCATTTTTCAACTTTTCTTCTACTTTAGATCATTCTGAACAGTCATCTCTAAAATAATACGTACCAGAATGGAAAGGAAACTGTTGTTTGGCTTCTCCAGTATGTGCGTCCCAAATTATTGTGGTCTGAATAAACAAATAACAAACTTGTAAAATTGTTGTTCAGAGATTTTTTTTTCCCATCATTAACTTTATTAGGTCACCTAATCCCAGCTTCCCACTGGCCAAGCCTTTTCCCCATCACACACAGTTCTATTGCCATGAAGTTCAGTTTTGTATAACCCAAGCAAAGACCACCTCGTCACTATCTTTCTCGCAGCGTCTTTTACTTTTTTGTTAACTTCCTTTCGCTACTCCTAATTATACTCCTGTTGCATCCTTATTACTTTAATGTAAAAAAGACTTCATATATAACCTTAAGTCTAGTCATATAAATCAACCCTTTTAGCTCCCTTACCAATTCTGTTGACAACTTTTGAACTGTTTGTTAATACCTCTAGCACCTTTCTGATGAACAAAGTATTTCAGTATAAAATATACAGATTTTAAAAAGAATGCTATTGTTTATTATAAGCCTCATCTTATCCCACAGAAGTCAAGGGGAATTTTGCCACTGAACTCAATTGGAATGAGAACAGACTTTCTATTTTCTTATACAAGGTAGTGTTGGAAAAGGCTCTTGACATTTATGCAAGGACATCTCCTTGCCAATGTAGGATATTTTCTTACACTCAGTTCTCAGTTACTTTGTCCAGTCTGGTTTTGAATGGTTCAAGCTAAGAAGGTTTCCATCTCCTCTGGCAGGTTTTTTTCATAGTATAATTGAGCTTACTGTTTCCTTTGGAGTTTGTGTTTACCTTTGCAGCCTGCCTCTGGGTTATAAATCCTGATGAGCCTAAACAATACTTTTCAGTCCTCTATTCTTCACTACTTCCTGTCCTCACTACCATCTGCAAAACCTCCTGATGCCACAACAGCTTTGAATTTAATTACTATATTGTTTATTATTCTTTTTTTTAAGATGTGAAATAAAACCTGGCTTAACAATGACCCTCTTTGCACTGCACTGGCCAGTACCCCCAATGATATTTGGTGGTGCTTCTCATTCTCTGCCTACCCATTAAACCCATTTTCAGGCTCTTCAAAAGGTTCAGGGTCCAAAATAAAATGAATCCTTTTTCCAAAGATGAATTATCTAAGTTCTAGATAAGAATGATCTACATTCTTGATAATCTGGCTGTAAACTGTGGTAATGCCATTGACTTCAATGGAGTTATTTCTTACATACATTGATGTCCCTGAGAAGAGAGTCAGAATCCACTGCATTTATACCACTAAAGTCATGAGTCATCCACTAAATTTGAAACTATAAAATACGATTAAATTTGTCTAATGTGACAGGTTCTTTATAAACCCATATTTGTTTTCTTATTTCTTATTTGGTATTAAACTTCCTACGGCTTTATTCTTAAATGCTCATAAAAAGTTTTGTTTAGTCTCAATTATTCTATAATTTAATTAACCAAAGGTTCTCACCTTGTCCACTCCTGCACTTAATATGAAGTTTCCTTTCTTGTTCCATTTTAATGCAAATATAGGACCTTTATGTTGCCCTAAGGTGCTGGCAAGGTTACCTGAAAATTTACATTGAAACGATTATGTTGAAGAAATGAAAAAACATGTTGCGAGCCACTAAGCAGGAAAATCTAACAGAACTGGACAGCATTTCACTTACCATCTTTAGTCCATATCCTTGCAAACCCGTCATATGACCCAGTTGCTAGAAGTGTACCTTCACTCTGCCAGGAAAAAAAAAAAATGGGTTGGCATATTATATAACTTAAAACTAACAGGCACACTCACAGTTCAACCAGAAAGCATTTTGTACCAGGTTTATTTCACAGACTGGACTCTAAGAAATGCACGTGGCAAGATCAAAAATCAGTCTGACATAACACTAATGTAGGAGTACTTTGTCAGAAGCAACACCAGATACAATGCCTTGCGACAAGTGCATTTTTCTCCAAGTACTTGCAGCACTGCCCTTTCTGCTTACATTCCAATCCAAGGATGTCACATCTTTGTTGCTTGGTACATCTTGCCCTCCTTCTCGTATACAGTGTCGGAGTACCAGCTGCGTAGAGCCACTGGTGCTGTTTTCACTAAGGTTCCATATCCGTGCTGTCGAATCTCCAGAACTGCAAAACAAGCATAACATTGAATTTAAAAAAAAAAAAAAAAGATTGAGAACAATCTTGACAATTAGGATGTTTTAAAATTGGAAGCCTGGCATATTGCACCCAAATCCTCTGGCAGCTGTATGCCGTCAACCCCACGTACCTTGTGGAGAATTCTATTTTCCCCAGGGCCCAAATATTCAATGTCCAGAAAGTACAGGACAGCGGCACAGGATATTGTGGTTATAGGGCATACAGTGCTGCGGTGAGCACCCATTTGATGTTTTCTCCAAAAAACATACCCTGAGGCCAGAAGGTCACTAACAGGGTTCCAGGCACAGATGAATACTTCAGATTCATGACCACGCAGCACCACTGCTTTGTTTGGAGGGATTTCAACATCTCCATCCACTTCCATCATATCCGTGTGATTATCTGCATTATGGGAAACAACAGTGGAAAGAATACGCATGTTTATACCTTGGGGTAACAGGTTTGTGGGATGAATTTTAACTGTTAAGCAAATTCAAGAGGAGTCAAGTCACATGATTCATGCTAAGATTTGCAACAGCAACAGTGATTTTTGTCTCAACATTTTCAGGTACCCAAATTATTTAAAACAGAGTTAGATTTTCAACAGGTGCCAAGAACCTTCCTTCTAAACCTTAGGCCTCTTTAACCTGTCTCTCTGTGGATACCTACAAACTGAGGCTAAATCTACTTGCGAAAAATCTCTAAAAACTGAATTAACAAAGCATATCCTCCCTACTGGCCAGCCACTATGCAAAAAATCTTTTTATGACTTTGAAATAACATACTTCTAGTGTTTATGAAACACTGACACTCACATTTTAGCATTGAACTAGGGTCACCAATAACTGGCAAGACAACAATTCAGCCACTTCCCTTCTGAAAATGATCCTACTAAATATGCAAATAATATTTTACTAAATGTGTAGGAAATTGATTGTATTATATACTCATGGGAGGGTTTTTTTTTGTTAGTCTCATATTGTGAATATATGAGTTTTCCACATGGAAGATGTATCAAATCCACATTGTTCTGTAAAATTAGAAAGATCTTCACTGCCAAGTACTACCAGTCTTTTATTGATTATTTAAAATATATCCATCCCTAAGAAGAGTTTTCTTGGAGTAAATGAAGAATATGAAGAATAATAAAGAGCTCATCTGTTCCACATATATTCATAGCAGGACTGTTTAAACAACACCATGTCATACTTACTGCTTAATTTAGGCTTTAAAGGTTTTTTGATATTATGTGGATGTACGAGACAAAAGAAGAGACTATTACAGAATACCTGTGTTCAGATAGGAGTACCACATGTAAAAACACTGTTTCAATTTAAGAGAATCAATGACACAATGATTTGGTGTTGCAGCCAGCAGGGGTTGCTGGTATATTACCTTTTATACAGAGCTTAGTTCGAAAACTTAAGGTCACAGCTCACAGTTAACAAGCAAACAACATTATGGATTTTTAAAATGTAAATCCTAAAGCATGGAAGTGATTTGTTTGAACAAAAAACCGAGAGCATGTCTCAAAGTCCATGTATTATGTGATAAATGAAAGGAGCTAATAACATCAACCCTAAAACTGGGGAAATAAAGCAAAAGATTTTAGTGGATAGTCATTCAAAATCCTAAACTAATCTTTACGTGGGTTTGCGCCCCCATTGTATTCTTTTTTACTATAACATTCATGAGTCCGAGTGCTTCCAGAAGTAATGTTCACAAATAGCAACTGTTATATAAAAAACTCAATTTATATGACCAATTGCGACTAAGGGGCATAAATGAAACACTGCACAAACAAAATTTGCAGGCGCTTTTGTCAAGTAATGCTATCTAACACACAAAGAGAATAATGATCTTCTGTTATAAACTGGAAGAGATGTCTTCTGTGATCAAAATGATTCAACATTAAATTTACAAGTGGGGCTAGGTTCTTTTACAAATCCAAGATCTTCATGGATAAAAGGAGCGGCCATCAGAGAACCACAGATTGGCCCTGTTTCAGTACCAGTCAGGGAAGCCTATTTACACTGAAGCTGAGGACCGTGGTAGGCTGGGGAGAAGCAGTTGCTTCTGCAGGCTTTATTTCAGCTGGGCCCTGTATCCATAGCCTTCAGTAGCATAAAGAAAATAGGAATATGGCTAACAACAGTACTAGTGCTAAAATTAAAGGACCCCCCACCCCCCCCAGATCTCCACACATGCCACACTTACACAAACCAAGCCAGGAAAAGTTATCTAAAGGTGAGAAACTCTCTGTTAAACTATCACACGTAAACTTATTTTCTGAAAGTCTAGAGGTTACAGATACCCATGCTTATTCTTCTTACAAATGTGTTTGCTGTCTGCAGAGTAATCTACAGAGACATTAAATAGGATAAATGACAAAAGACACAGCTACTCAATGGTGCATGTCATCATCTTCTGCCTCAACTTACTTGCTATAGTGTGTGCTCCATTCTCTTCTCCATTTGCAGTATTTTCTCCATTTTTTGCAGATCCCTGTGGGTTTGTTGCAGCTGCAGCTGCAGCAGCTGCTGCCTGCTGTTGTGCAAGTTTATCTCTGTAGGCTTGTTGTCTTGTTTGTACCACATCAGGCATTACTGCATCTATCAGTGAGAGAGACTCTATAGGCCTACCATCAAACAAGGTACCATCCTGTTTTTGAGTGGAGGAAAAACAAACAGAAAAAACAATACCATATATTAGATGGCCTTGTTAGCAAAAATTCCTAAGAAAAACTAGTCAGTCTAAAAGTTAACTGAAAAGAAGATGATAAATCACAAACACAGAAGCAAGCAATCTTCCGAATATTTCATTTTTCTGCACCGAAGGCTGAAAGTCTGCTCAAAGGTTGAAGTGATCATCATATCCATTTAGTGTACAAACCACTATAGAGACTCTGGGACCAAAAAATTTGCTAAATTGCCTAAAACAGCCAAAAAAATGTATACTACCGACGAATACAATTTCAGATACGAGGGGCTGCAACAAAATTCCAAATGCATGTTTCAAGAGCTGCGAATAGTTCCAGTTATTATATTCTACTGGACTAAACATTTCCATGAACACATTATCTGGAGAACCACGATTTATTTTTTTTTCTTATCTCTCTTTTTATACAAGAACAGTGCTAACACACTTGAAAACAACCACGAAGAAATTTATCCTGAAATGGACAAGACCCAGGCAAAAATAGTTTCTCCTACATTTGTGAGGGCTTTGCAAAGCTCTATTTTTAGAAGCTTGGAAGAATTCCTGGCGATAAATATAGGCTTCCCTCTTCTGTTCTGAACTTTGCTTCTTTTTTATGACCCTTTCCTAGAGAATACATTTATTTTACTGGAGCTATGAATCTGCAGCTAAACCAAGTCAGAGGGACAAGGGAGATGGAGAGGATACCAGAATTACTGCAAATTTTGTATCCTGGCCACAACCGAAGTGATACATATTAATGGTTGCTTTTGTAAGATGCAAACGCTAATGGACTTGATGGCAACTCAAGCAACCAATATTTCCGCACTGCTGGAAGCACACTCATGGAATAATAACAAAGGCAGCAAGTTTCAGTGATTTTGCTGGAGAGTAATAGGCCTCTGTAAAACAGGTCTGCACCTCCATCTTTCCCGTCCGGCCACATTCAAACCTTTTCCCCTTTCTGGAAAGCCATTCTTTTTCTATGAGCCCCCTCACTTCATTACACTGATAAATCTTCTACAAGAGAGCTGTGTGGCTTTCTTTCCCACACTCCACCTCTAGAAATGCGGCAGCTACTGTAGTTGGTTGAACCCAGGCTCTCTTCTCGAGCCGTTCTACTGCAACTTCTTCAAAAGTTGCCAAGATTACAATAAGTGTATTTAAAGGCAGGCCAGGCCATACGCTTTGAAAATCCAAAAGCAAATAAGAATCTTTACTGAAAATCCTAATGTCACTGGTTGAGAAGGGAATCATGGGTCAAAGATAAAGGGAGCCCTGGGCCTGTTGGTAACTAGGTGCTCCTGCAAAGAAGGAAATTGCTCCCAATATTGAAAGGGAAGCAAATAAAGAGCCTGAACAAATTCTCAAACTCTTGAACTATTCACCCAACAGAACTCCAGACTCTTTTGTGATATGCTTGCTGTTAATCCCTGGTCTTCCAAGATGACCTTCAAAGCGGAAGTTATGAGGTTATTTTATCTTTGCTATTATTTTATTGTACTTTTCTGGATTAACTACGACATTGCATTTGAGGAAAAACTCCACAGATCATGGATCTTTAACTGCACCAGCACACCATGCTGCGCGGGTGCACTGTGCAGAACCCTTACACAATTATGTCACTTCGTTCTGGTTCCACCAGTGGAGTCATAGTGAACACCAGCAGTAAGGCATCTGAAGTAAAAATAAATGAACAGGACAAAAGAGTGTTAAGAAACAAATACTAGCATTAAAACGTGATGCCAGCAAGTATATAATACTTGCGTAGGACAGGTAATGAGAAAGCTACTTACCTCATTAATACTGACTTCTGCCTCTACATACTGCAGACCTTTCTGAATGATCGAAATCAAAGCAGCTGGTGGCACCAGAGCACCATTTATATTAGACTGGCTGATATGGCTCTCTATACCAAAGGTAAATGCTGAATGAGAAAACCCTAAAGACAAAGGAAAAACAATCAGTATACAGTCACTTATATACTGGCGGCACAATTTCTCAAAGCAAGATCTTCTGGTAAGAGCCAAATAAGCTACTGCAGTGGTATAGCAAATATACAAACTACGAGATAATTATATAAAACTAATATATAAACCATACACAGCCATGCAGTCAATTAGAGACCTCATATGTGTTTCCTTTATTATAGTTTTAATGTGTAAACTATACAAACCTTAAGTTATATACAATATAACAAATGTTCATTATAATCGGTTAGCAGTTGTAACGAACATGTTTAGATAAAAAAAGAATTAATTTTTTCTCTGTTCTTTTTTTTTTTTTAAATACCTTCCCGACAGGGTTTTAGAGGAGGAACAAAATAGAAACAAACAAAGATAAAGCACATTCCTTCAGTAAAACTGATTACAAGTTACTAGGTTATAAAACTAGCCAAACCTACTGACACACCAAAATTCACTTGTTACATTTCTGTCCTCATTGCATATGAAAAAGAAGAAAATCTCAATGAGTGCAGAACTAAATTAATGACAGTGCATTTTAATTGTGCATGTTCTGGTACTTAAAACCACATTATTGCTATACACTAATTCAAAGGTGAAAAGTTTATCACATTGAAACACTGGCATGGATATTATTTATTTGATTGCCCTGAAAAAGGTAAATTTCTTGTAAAGGAAAGATTTGTTTTAGACAATTAATTTTGGTCTTACGGACAATTATCCCCTTAGATCTCCTTCCTTAGAGACTACTGAGTTCTTGCTGCAGACAACAGGAACTACAAAATTTATATAACTAGATTAATTTCTTGAGCACTAATTCTGTGACAACAGCAATCTGGAAATGGAATAAGAATTTATAATGGCGCTCTGTAAATTCATCTGGAACAGCAAGGTTTTTTTTCTGGCAGGCAGAGATGGAAAGCTTCTGCCATCCATGATTGCTTCTTGGTGCTTCTCTCTCTCACCCTAAGGAATCTCTGAGCAGAGGGCAGATGCCACATTGGTCTTCATCAACTCTGACCAAAAATCTCACAGATGAAGCCACAAAATTCCACTCAATCCCCCCAAAAAGCACCCATTTTAGTCAATGACAAATAGACCTACAACCAGAATGCAACTGGTTACTGACTACTGAGTTGAAAACTCCAATTCGTTAACTACCTACTATAGCTCTATAATGTTTTTGTAACATTTTCCAGAAACAAGAGTCAGCATGACTTCACAGATGCATTAGCAGCTGATCTATTTTCATTACAAAAGTGTGGAGTCTGTCTTCATGCCATCTCACTAAAAATAAGCTAGGATAAATACAGAAAATGATCACTTAGATCAGTGGCTCCCAACCTTTTTTTGCTGAGACGCTAAATCCAGACCACAACCCCCCTCCCCTGACTCACTCATGCCCGTGCAGCTCACCAGC